GCCACCTTAGGTATATGTGTCTGGTGCCTTAGCCACTTGAGCCACAGGCGCCGAGCCAAGTATATCACTTTTTAACAGTTGTTGGCTGTGTCTTTGTTCATTACAGACTAATATAAATTCTGCTAGCATAGTCTAGATATTTGTATGTTTTTCATCTTATACATGATGATACTCAATCTTAATTTTTAAACTGTGGTTAGTGGCCCTTTTATCTTTATAAAATAATTTATGTTGAGAGCAAGAGCATGTGTAGTTTCCTTTTTTTTTTTCCTTAATTTTTTTTTTTATTGAGACAGAATCTCACTTTGTGGCCCTTGGTAGAGAGAGTGCTGTGGCATCATAGCTCACAGCAACCTCGAACTCTTGGGCTTAAGTGATTCTCTTGTCTCAGACCTCCCAAGTAACTGCAACTACAGGTACCCACCAGAACGGCCAGGGTTTGTTTGTTTGTTTGTTTTTGGTAGAGATGGGTCTCACTCTGGCTCAGAGCTGATCTCAACCTCAGAGCTCAGCAGTACACTCATCTCAGCCTCCCAGAGTGCTAGGATTATAGGCATGAGCCACCATGCCTGGCCTATAGTTTCCTTTTATTCTTGCATCCCAAGATCATATTTTATAGAGCCCATAGGAAATGAAAAAGTCTGCTTCCTTACATCATTTTTCTTGGCTAAAACTTCTTGAAGTAGTAACTAGGGCGTGTGTAAAAAACAAAAAACAAAAAAACCCCAAACACAACAGGAAGTGATAGTTGCATTACATAGCTGTTAATAGCTGGGAATTCATACCCAGGTTTTTCTGACTCTGGAGCCCAAATTCTTAAGCATTAAAATTGTATATGTCATCCGCACACCACTGTAAGAATTAGAAAATATAATTAATGAAAAGATTGAAGTAAAATTATTAGCAATTCCATCCTATGGGATTATTCATCTTTTTTGCCTTTTAATTATATTTGTTGTGACCTTGTTTTCTTTTTTTTCTTTTGAGATGGAGTTTCACTATGCTGCCCTCAGTAGAGTGCCCTGGCGTCACAACTCACAGCAACCTCAAAGTCTTGGGCCCAGAAACTTTTGTTTCAGAAACATTTTGATTTCATTGAATCTGTTTTTTCCTTTTGGATTTCTGTCTTTAATGTGTTTAGAGAGTCCTAGAGATTTTATGGAAACATTCACTTGTTTTTTATTAGAAACATTTATGATTTTGATTTAGTTTGCAGTTTTCCCATTACATATTGCTTCATGAATTCAGCATAATACTTGTATATTAAATACCTATTATGTGTCTATAGCCAGGCATTGTGGCAGGTGCCTGTGACCCTAGCTACTTGGGACGCTGAGGCAGGAGAATCTCTTAAGCCCAAGAGTTTGAGGTTGCTGTGAGCTGTGATGCTATGACATTCTACTGAGGGCGACATATGTGAGACTCTGTCTCAGGAAAAAAAAAAAAACCTATTATGTGCCTAAAATGGTGAACAGAGCACATCTAATGTGGGAGACAGTAAACAATTGCATATTAAGTGTTAGGTGCTACAAAGGTAAAGAATGGCACTATGTGAGAAATTTGAAGAGGGGAAGAAACTTTAGGATATGAAGTAGGTGATCCTATTGAGATAGGGATCACTTCAGCCTTACCACCAAGGTCATTACTAGTGTCAGCAACATTTATTGAATAATCTCAACAATACATTTTTATGTAAGTAGTGGTGTTAAGTTTGAAACTTCTGTCTCATTGGGCAAAGTACTAGTTGGCCAGTACAAAATTACTGGATTTCTATTCATTAGTATTTCTTAGACCATTTCTTTTCAGAATTTATAAACTAGTATCACAATTGAAGCAAGTATTGATGTGCTTTCTGTTTCTATAGATTTGTTTGGATTTTCTAGAATTTTATATGAATGGTATCATAAAGTATGTTTTTCCTTTGTCTAGCTTCTTTTTCTTGGGGGTACTTATTTGAAATATATCCATTTAGGTGCATGTACCAGTAGTTCATTTTTGTTGTTGAGTTCCATTCCAAACCAGTTTTCACTTCACATGTTGATGGGTTATTTCCCCAAGTCTTTGTGTGGACTGAAGTTTTCATTTATTTGGGGTAAATAAGTAGGAGTACAATGCCTGGTAACATGCTAGGCATATGCTGAACTTCGTAAGAATCTGTCCAACTGTTTTCCAAAGTGCTTATGCTATTTCATATTCCTACTAGTAGTATATGAGAGTTCCAGTTGCTCCTTGTTCTCACCAATATTTGGTATGGTCAAGAACATTTATTAAGGCCAGGTGCAGTGGCTCATGCCTATATTTCCAGCACTTTGGGAGGCTGAGGCGGGTGGATTGCCTGAGCTCACAGGTTTGAGACCAGCCTGAGTAAGAGTGACCCCATCTATAAAAATATCTGGGCATTGTAGCAGGCGCCTGTAGTCCCAGCCTCAGGAACCTGAGACAAGAGGATTGCTTGAGCCCAAGAGTTTGAGGTTGCCGGGTGACAAAATAAGACTCTATCTCAAAAGGGGGGGGGCATTTATTAGTCTTAATTTTAGACATTCCAGTATTATGTAGTATATCTCATTGTGCATTTAATTTGCCCTGCTTGTTATTAGTTATATCGATCATCTTCTTGTATGTTATTCTTCAGATTTTTGCCCAGTTTTCAATGGACTTGTTGGTTTTTATAGTATTGAGTTTTAATGGTTCTTGTATATTTTGGATACAAATCTATTATCAGATTTATGATTTGCAAATTTTTTTGTTATTTATTTTTTCCGTCTTTTAACATTGTCTTTCAAATGAGATGTGCTTAATTTGGATGAAGTCCATTTTATCCGGTTTTTCTTCTCTTGATATGACTATTGATAGTATTTTATTTTACCTGTTTTTTGAGACAGTCTCTCTTTTTGTCATCCGTGGTAGAGTGCTGTTGAGTCGTTGCTCACAGCAACCTCAAATTTGGACTCAAGTGATCTCCTTATTTCAGCTTCTCAAGTAGCTGAGAATACAGGCAGCTGACACAACACTTAGACGGGGGTGGGGGGTGGGGGGTATGTGTGTGTGGTCAGGGTCTCTTGCTCAGGCTGGTTTTGAACTCCTAAGCTCAGGCAGTCTACCCACCTTGGCTTCCCAAAGTGCTAGAATTACAGGTGTGATCTATAGTGCCTGACTTTTGATAGTATGTTAAAACATAAAGTCACAAAGGTTTTCTCCGAGCTTCCTTTAGGAGTTTTATAATTTACGTTTATATTTATTAGATCTACTATTTATATCAAGTTAATTTTGTGTGTAGTATTAAGGTAAAGGTCAAGATTTTTTGAGGGGAGGGATATATGGTCATGTGATTGTTGTGTTACCATTTATTGAAAAGATTGTTTTTTTTCTCATTGAATTCCTTTTGCCCCTTTATAAAAAATTAATTGATCATATATGTATTAATCTATCCCTGGACTCTGTTCTATTTATTTGTATCAGTGTTAACATTTTCTGGACATCAGGTAGTGTAATAATCTTCCATCTTTGTTGTTCTTTTTCTTCTTATTTTGGCTAGTCTAGATCTTTTGCATTTACGTACAAGTTTTAGAATCAGCTTTTTAATTATAAAAAGAAAATTAAAAGCCTGAGATTTTGATTTGTATTGCAGTGACTCTAGACCAGTTTGTGGTGACATGACAATATTGAGTCTTCTGATCTATGAACATGATGTGTCTTTCTAGTTAAATTTCAGCACTGTTTTGTAGTTTTCAGTGTATCTTGTGCATTTTTTGTCACGTTTATCCCTCAACATGTCATATCCTTTTGTGGTATGATTTAAAAAAAAAAATCCTGGCTAATTTATAGACATATAGTTGAGTTTTCTATATTGCTCGCATATGAAGTTATGTTTCTAAAATCATTTAGTAGTTCTAATCACTTTATTGTAGTTTACATAATATTTTCTATATTAATATTGTTTTTGAATAAAAAGTTTTATTCCTTTTGTATATTGGATGCCTTTTACTACATTGCCCTGCCTTCTTGTGCTGACTAGTCTGATAATGTGATGAATTATATTGATTGACTTTTGAACATAAACTAATTTTGTATTGGGGGAATAAACCCTAATTGGTCATGATTTCTTGTTTTGTTTATTTATTCTTGGATTTGTTTTGTAGACTTTATGAGGGATAATTGGTGTTTAGTTTTTTTGTAATGACTGTCTGGTTTTAGTATCAGTAATGCTGCCCTTAACACAATAAATTGGGAAGTAGTAGTATTATTTCTTCTCAAGCATTTGATAGAATTCCCTAGAGAAGACATTTGGCCCTGGGATTTTCTTTGGGTAGAGGGGGATGTTTTTAACTATAAATCCTACTTCTTTAATAGATGTGGGGCTTCTTGTGTTGTCTACTTTCTTCAAATGAACTTAAGTTTGACTAGAATATTCTCAGTTTTACTGATCTGTCTGAAGAACTAGATTTGGGGTTTCATTGATTTGTTCTCTATTTTTTTTTCTCTTTTATTTGGTTCTGTACTCTTTTCTTGCTTTCATAAAATCAATTATTCCCCTCATTTTCTAATAGGGGAAGATTAGTGCTATAAATTTTCCTGTAAGTACTACTTTTCCTGTCTACAAATTTTGTTTTTTTTTTTGAGACAGCCTCAAGCTATCCCCTTGGGTAGAGTGCTATGGCATCATAGCTCACAGCAACCTCCAACCCCTGGGCTCAAGTGAGTCTCCTGCCTTAGCCTCCCAAGTAGCTGTGACCACAGGCGCCTGCCACAACGCCCGGCTATTTTTTGGTTGCAGCCCTCGTTGTTTGGTGGGCCTCAGTTGGATTCAAAAGCACCAGCTCAGGTGTATGTGTCTGGTGCCTTAGCCACTTGAGCCACAGGCGCCGAGCCAGAATACTTTCTAATTTCTGTTTTTATTTTGTCTTTCACTCATGAGTTTATAGTTTCTAAATATTTGTGCATTTTCCATATATCTTTCTGATACTTAACATTTAATTCCATTTTTGTCATATGACATAATTTGGATGCTTTGCTTATTTTAAATTTGTTGAAACTTCTTTTATGTACCTATTCCTCACTCCCTCTGTTTGTCACACCTTTCTCCTATGGTCTTTTTTTCTTGATATTAAAGTTTACAAATGATTTTACTGTGTTATTACCTTTGTCAGCTTATGTTTGCTTTATATTCTATGTTAGAAGTTGTTCTTACCACCAGTCCCAAGTAGTAGATTCCAGTTTATTTTTCTGTTCACCCACTGATATTTTAGATGATAGTGGGTTACTCCTATGTTGCATTTTGTCAGATGTAAAACCTAGGAGGAGGGGGGTATACAGGGGCTGTAAAGTATGAAGTAACAACATACTTCCCTCCCCCTCCCAAAAAAGGTATTACCTTTGTTTCCAAGGTAATATGTGTTACTTTCTTAGCTTTTGAACAAAACCATTGATTACATATATGTACCTCTTAATTGTTTTATAGGCTTTTTATGGAAATTCTCAATGACTGTTCTGATGTGGATGAGATCAAATTTCAAGAAGATGGTTCTTGGTGTCCAATGAGACCGAAGAAAGAAGCTATGAAAGTATCCAGCCAACCATGTACAAAAATAGAAAGTATGTACAGAATGGCAGCAGAGATTAAAGCTATGAGACCTATGCAGCATTATCTTAATCATTAATCTTGGCCACTGGAACCACATTTGGAGTTCACCTTGCTAACTTCATCTTTTAACCATATCCTATTTCCCCCACAAGTGATTTTTATTCTTTCCTGAAGAAATGTGCTGAAGTTTATACCACCTTATCAACCTCTTCATAGTATATTTTCATACGTAGAATAAATGAAACAGTCATCTGAAGTCATTTTTGATATGTTTGTTATAAAATGAAAAGTCACAAGTGGTATTTATATGGGCAGTTTTTCAGAATTGTTTTTAGACTATCCGTAGGCAGAACCCCAGCTGGAGGTATGTGGTTAGAGAGTCTGCATCCTTGATGAATGGACTTCAGGGGTGGGGGAAGTTATCACAAGTTAGTTGCTTAGAAAGTGAACAAATCATTAACTTCCATTTCTCTGTGGGAGGAATTGCCTAGAATATATACTCATTCATGAATTCCCTGCATCTGTCTACACTGAGTGGGGGGAACCAAGGGCATTTTGAGTAAATGGAACCCAAAGGTGAACTTAATGTTTCTTTTTATTTAACACAATTTACTCACTGCATTTGAATTTTCTTCTGACATATGTGAAGTTCAACAAACAGATTATCAGAGTAAGAAGAAAGGAAAAATAATTAAGGATTTGTGTCAACATTAATTACTCCCCTGTGATTGGTACTGAACCAAAGAGTGCAATGACCAGGTTTCCCTCATCTTTCAGAAAAATGGGAAGTGATTTAATTGAGAAGTTGCTGCTGCTTTTCCTTTATCAACTACCATTCATTTTTGGCTAAGTTACAGGGAATAACTTTCCTATGAAAATGTGAATTAACTGGCTTGGCACTCGTGTGGCTCAGGTGGCTAAAGCGCCAGCCACATATCCCAGAGCTGGCAGATTTGAATCTAGCCCGGGCCTGCCGAACAACAGTGACAGCTATAAC